GTAATGTTCTCCGTCTCTTGTTTGGTCATAAATTCTTCTGTTCTCCATAAATCTGACAGGTAAACTATTCCTTGCTCTCCCAGTTTGCTTACGGTATTAGCCTTTATATCTAAATTGTGTACCTATTTTGACTTTATTTTGGTATATGGTGTAAGGCGTTGCTCTATGCCTAGTTTCTGCCGTGCTATTTTCCAGTTTTCCCAGCAGTTTTTGTCAAAAGAGCTTACATTCTATTGGAGGAAACAACACGCATGAGCTAGGATAGGACAAGATCTATCCTCAGTGGATGGAAGGTGGTCGGAGAGGGGAAGGCACTTCGGCTGGGGAGGAGCTGGAAAGCCCGCCCAGAAGGGGTGTGGGGGTGCTTCATCTGGGCCTGGAAGGAAGCCAGGGAGCCTCAGAGTCGGATGAGAGGAGGGGAAGGAAGCCAAACTAACAAAGTATTGAGAACCTTCCTTTGCCAGTTTTTAAAATTCGGCATTTCCTGCCGGCTTCCAGTCTTGCCTTTCCGTCACACTCACCGCAGAGGGCCAGTCTGACACTAAGTCTTGCTGGCTCGCTCTCCACATACGTGGCCCTCTCTCTCCACCCCGGTGACTCCCGCTGGTGCAGCCCCTCATGTCCTGACGGGCCATCTCCAAGGCTGCTGGCTGGTGGCCCTCCTCCCCTGCTCCAGTCCAGCCTGCACGTCCCTATTCAATGAATTCCAGTGGTTCCCTGTCACCTCCTCTGGCCTTTAGAGTCCTTCCTGGCCTCCTCCTACCACTCTAGTCTTCTTAACACTTTTGTTATCGTTCAGTCATTTTTCAGTCATATCCAGCTCTTTGTGACCCCATTTGGAGTTTCCTTGGCAGAAATATTGGAGTGGTTTTCCATTACCATCTCATTTTACAGATGAGGAAACTGAGGCAAACAGGGTGAAGAGCCTTGCCCAGGGTCGCACAGCTAGGAAGAGTCTGAGGCTGTATTTGAACTCAGGAAGATGCGTCTTCCTGACTTCAGGCCCAGCTCTATCCACTGTGCTACCTACTTTTCTTCTCTCCATATCCAAGAATCATTAACACTGTTCCTCCTACACAAAGCTCCATCCCCCTACTCTGTGCTCTTTCTCTGGCGATGCTCTTGTGTCTGCAATGCTTTCCCTCTTCTTCTCCACATCCTGGTTTTCCTTCAAGTCCCAGCTCAAATTCTACCTTCTGCAAAAGGCCTTTCCCAGGTCCCCTCAGTGCTAGCTGACCCCCTGGGGGCTATCCACCGTTTATCTTGTTTGTAAATCTCTGCCTGCTGGCTCCCTCCCTAGACTAAGCTCCCTGAGAGCAGGGATCATTTTTTGGCTTTTCTTCGTATTTCCATTGCCTGGCATACAGGAAGCCCTTACTAAGTGCTCTGTGACTTGCGTAAAATGAGCGTTTCCATCTGCAAAGTAGAACAGAATGAGGATCATAGACGAGTCTGCAGATCGCTCTTGTGAACACCTGGCTCTTCCTCTCAGGTGTCATTCAACTCTTTAGGACACTCCACGTCCAAGGTCTCCTACCCTCGGGGGGAAGGAGGGCGAAGCCTTGGCTCCCCTCTTCCCTTGGGCTGTGCTGGGTCATTACACAGATTCATGGGTCAATTTCTGTTTCTAAATAGTTTTCTAACTGCACTTGGCTTATGAACCTTCATATAAACCTTCCCATCCTCTGAATTCTTCCAGTTCTTTGATTTTTCTTTGTTGGTGTTCAGTTGTTTTCAGTCATGTCTAATTCTTTGTGATGCTATTTGGGGTTTTCTTGGCAGAAATACCAGAGTGGTGAACCATTTCCTTCTCCAGCTCATCTTACAGATGAGGAAACTGAGGCAAACAGGGTGAAGTGCCGTGCCCAAGGTCACACACTTCATAAGTGTCTGAGGCTAGATTTGAACTCTGGCCTTCCTCACTCTGGATGCAGGGCTCTGTGCACTGTGCACCTACTAGCAACCCCAGATGCAGAAGAGATGGTGGGAGGTATTGGGAATCCCAACCTTCTGTATATGTATCAGAGCTGATTAGGATGCTGACCAGGTTGCGGTTTCTTTTGGATTTCATTTTAGTAAGTGCTGTAACCTAAGTGCTAAGTAAGTGAATTTAGGGGCCTGTGCTGTGCTGGGGGGCAAGATTGGGGGCTCAATGAGTAAAGGAAAGTTAGGACTTTTAGGGAATTCATTCACACTATTAGATTTTAAAATGTGAACCCAGGGGATGAAGGAGAATCAGGAGGTGGGAAAGTGCCTTTCTCCACATGTGCTCATTTCACACAGGCTCAGTGAGCACCACTTGAGCTTTGGGTACCACCTGGTGGCCTGTACACCCTATAGCAGCTGTTCGGAGCCGCAGCACAGCGCATGCTCGTGTGTGTGTGTGTGTGTGTGTGTGTGTGTGTGTGTGTGTGTGTGTGTGTGTGTGTGTGTGTGTGTGTGTGTGTGTCCCACACTCAAGAGCTACTCATCTATTTTCCAATGAAATTACGGGTGAAAATGTTCTTTACTTTGAAGGAGTCAGTACAGTATATGATTGTGCCAACTCCTTCCCTATAAGGCACTACTTCCTATAATCCAGCAAAATCCTTCTACTTTGCAGTTTAGAAAACCAAGGCTCTGAGAGGTGCCATGAAGGACTTTCTCAAGATCATGCAGCACTGGAATTTTAGCCTAGATCCTGACTCCAGACCTGATGGTCCCTCCATATGGGTCAGAGTAGAGGTGTTAATCAGGAGCACCTGAGATTGATCTCAGCAGTCAGAAGACTTTGTGACTCTGCCCCTTATCAGTTGAATGACTTTGAGTCATTCAACTTCCCCAGGTTTCAGTTTTCACGGGCTTCCTTCTGGTTGGGCTACGGTTAATTAACGCAAGAAGCATTTCTAGATCACGCACTATGAGGCATATACTGTGTACAAAGACAAAAATATGAAATAGGGTTTGACAACTGACTGGCATCCTACGATGTGTAGGTCAGAGGGATAAGCATTCTCTCTCAACCTTGAAAGTGATTAGGACTATCTCAATTCTGAGCCAGAAGACCAACTTGAGTCAAGCCTGGGAGTTTTTTTGTTTTTTGTTGTTCGTTTGTTTTTTAATCTTTTTTTTTTTTTGCTAGGCAATGGGGTTAAGTGACTTGCTCAGGGTCACACAGCTAGTAAGTGTGATGTGTCTGAGGCCAGGCTTGAACTCAGGTCCTCCTGAATCCAGGGCCGGTGCAATATCCACTGTGCCACCTAGCTGTCCCCAAGCCTGGGAGTTTTTAAAAAGACACATGCAGTCTACAAGAGAGTAGACTGAAAGGGAGTAGCTAGGACTACGCAAAGTTACCAGTAGCAGTGAGTAGACAGCGTCCCCTGCTCCAGCTCGTACTTAAGAAACAAAGTTGGAATCAGAGACAACAGTGGAAAGGAGAAAACTGACAAGAGAGTTGAGGTTCGGCAGAAGTGGGCCGTTGAACTCCTTCAGACGCTTGGAAGGGGAGAATTCAGAATGAAGCTGCTGGTTATGACCACCTCTTCAAGGACTGAGGGATATTTAAAAAGGTCCACTCTCTCTCCAGGTTCCGCTCCCTGTGCCTGTACGGTGACTCGGTTGTGTCACTCATTCTTCTTACCTCTACTGCCTAAGCACTTCTTGTATGCTGATTGTGTCTCAAATATAATGAAACCTGAGGTCAGCTGGAAATACCAAATCTAAACTAGAGAAAAGCCAGACCTCTGTCTGAATGTTAGGAATTTTCCTAACTGGGGGCTCTAAGATATTGCATTGGTATTAATAACTTTCTACCTGATACAAACTGCATAAATTTTCAGAGAAGGGTACCATATGAACATGAGGGCAAGTATGTTGTCACCAAGTATTGTAACGGTATGGCTGATTAATAATAGCTAACAATTACGTGGCACTTCAAGGCTTGCAAAGTCCTCTCCAAATATTATCTCACAACAACCCTGGGAGGGAGGTGCCATTATGATTGCTATGTTTACAGATAGGAAATTGAGGCAAACAAGGGTTAAATGCCCAGGCAAGTCACACAGGTAGTAAATGTCTTAGGCTGAATTTGAACTCAGGTCTTCCTAATTCCACGAGTCTACCCACTGTGCCACCTAGCTGCCCCAATTTACTTCTCCAGAGAGGAACGGCAGACTGAGAAAGAGCAGAAGGGAATGAATATCTTCCACAGCCTCTAGTCTATATATAACACATACACACATGAACCCGAGCAAAACACATACAATGTGAATAGGAGGCAATAGGGGGCAATCAGGAAAGGTCCCCTGTGGGAGGTGGAGCTTGCAGAGACAAAAACTCAGAATTCTGAGAGGCAGAGGTTAGAAGGAAAGGCTCACAGGCACAGGGCACAGCATGTGCAAAGGCGGAGAGGTGAGAAGAGAAATGAATGTCATTTCTGAGAAACAACAATGAATGGTTAACAGCTGACTCTTATTGTCAATATTATTTATATTATTAAAGGTTTGCAAAGCACTTTACATACATGATGCTATTTGATTACTGGTAGGAACCCCAGGAAGTGGATCGGGATTAATCCTAATTATTAACACCATTTTACAAGTGAGGACATTTTTGGCTAGGGTGCATCAATCTAGAAGGTAAGGTGTCTCTGATAGGAGCCAAGGACTGCAGCAATGTGTTCTGCTGCCTCCACACCACAAGATGGCGCCAGAGCACGATGTAATCTCTGCCTCGAGAAGCTGGAGTCCGGCAAGAAACTACACGTCCCAAGACGCTTTGTGGGCTTTTAAGGACACCCCCCCCTTCACGGCTGCCCTCACGATCGCCTGTGGAAAGAACAGCTTTTTGCGATCTTTCCTCGTTTGCTGATGGCGGACGGGAGACGGCGGCTCCCAGCCTTTCGTTGCTATCTCCGGGTCTGTGTGCTTCCCCCTTCCAGTATTCCTCCTTCGTCCCGGGTTGAAAGTGAAGCACCCGAGGAGCTCCGCGAGGACCCGTGACCTTTAACCCAATATGGCGACGCCCGTATTCGGGTCGCGGTCGCGGTGAGGCCGACCGGACTTGTTGGGGCCAGGCTCCCGCTCTGTCCTCTTCTCCTGCTCCTGCCCGCACCCCACAGCCCGCGCCATGTCGAAGCTCAGCCGGGCCCCGCGCTCCATTCGGAAGATCGAGGGCAGCGGCGTCATCCGGGCCATCGTGCGCGCGGGCCAAGCGATGCCCGGGCCCCCACTGGGGCCCATCCTGGGTCAGGTAGGCGACGGAGCCCGACTGGGGTGCGCGTGCGCGGGGGGGGGGAGGGGAGCTGTTGGGGGGGGGAATGAGGAGGGTACCACGCATGCACGACCGGGACACGCTCTTGTAGCCCCAACTCCGAGGCAGTCCCCGCTGACTTGGAGTCTGGGGTCGCGGGTTCGAGTAATATCTCCGACACCTATAAATTGTGGCACCCAGTCGTGACATTTAATAATAATAATGATAAAATAGCCAGCCATCTAGGTCTTTAAGTACATCGTCTCAGTCAACTATCCAGGGCCGGGTATTGCACCTACTTTGCAGATCAGCAAACTGAGGCCCCAAAAGGAGCAGTGACTCGCCCAAAGCCACACATCCGGGACTCTTCAGAGGCGAAATTCGAATCGAGGGTCCGCGCTAGGCTGCCACCTCTCCTGGCCTCTGTGGTGTTGTCTCTTCCTCTGTATAATGGGGGGGGTGTCGTGGGGGTATAAAGACCCCATAGGGTCCTAGGTCTAGAGCTGGAAGGGACCTCGAGGCTGGGGTATCCCGGACCCCGCTTGCATTGATAGTAAGGAAGAAACTGCAGCCAGGGGATTCAGGGTCCTGCTCTCTGTCCTGAGGCTTCCTCGGTCCATTCCCCTGTGGCTTGGAGGTGATCCCAAGGTGCCAGTGGACCACAAGCTCTGGCACATGTACATGATGAGCTGGGGATGGGTGGTGTCTGCTGTCCAGAGCCCCAGCTGAGCACGAGGAGGAGGGCTGGTCTGATGGCCAGGGATGATAGCACCAAAGTCCCCCTATCAGAACAAGAGCTGGTGTTCTGGGGAGTTTCCACACAAAGTAAGAGACATGTGAATGACCCGTGGAGCATCAGCCTCCCAAGGGAGGAGAGTGGAGGGAGGGAGCCCCTTGAAGCTTTGGGCAGGAGTGGGCGGGGGGTCATCTGAGCTTCTCGGCACTCACGCTCCCCTTCTCCCCGGCAGCATGGCCTCGCCATCAGCCAGTTCTGCAAGGAGTTCAATGAGAAGACAAAGGACATCAAAGAGGGGATCCCCCTGCCCACCAAGATCATCGTGAAGGTGTGGGGACCCTGGGCCGCACTCCCTGCCCTCCCTTCTCTGGGTCCAGGAGGCCAGAGAAGCACAAGGCACAGCCTCCCTCCCTCCAGAAGTCCTGTCTCGGCCGCCACCTCTCTGACTGCTCCTCCTCTGTCCCCATTGATGGGAATCCTCCTGAGTGAGGGGGGCCTCCAGACTCTGTCCTCGGGCCTCTTCTTCCCTACCCTCTTTCTCTCAGTGGTTTCACACACTCCCATGGTCCAGCGTCACTTGGGGCACTCCCAGGTTCATGGAGCCAGCCCTAAGCTCTCCCCTCCAACTACCTGCACATCCCGTTGGCTCAGAGGTGGGGGATAACCCTGATTCTGGCTTCTCTCTTCCAGCCTGACAGGACGTTTGAGCTCGAGATAAATCAGCCTACAGTTTCCTACTTCCTGAAGGCAGCAGCTGGCATAGAAAAGGGAGCCAGGCGCACAGGTGATGGGCCTGGCACCTGGGCTGGGACTGGGGGGACGGCCTGGCAGGTGGTGGTGACAGCTGAGGTACCTTCCTCCCTTTCAGGGCATGAGGTGGCTGGCTTGATCACTGTGAAGCATGTGTATGAGATCGCCCGTGTGAAGGCTCAGGACAAGGCCTTCGCTTTGCAGGATGTCCCCCTCTCCTCGGTTGTCCGGTCCATCATTGGGAGTGCCCGCTCGCTGGGTATCCAAGTGGTGAAGGAGTGAGTGAGCAGGGAGTGAGGTGGTCCTGGGAAGCAGGGACCCTGGGTGAGCTGAGGGCTCTGGTAGGGGGCTGAGGTATAAGGAAGGAAGGAAGGCCAGAATCCTGGACTGTATCTATGAGAACAGTGGGTGTGGGTGTGGTGTTCAGCTCTTGCAGGAGCAGTGGGCTGGGTTGGGTCTGAGGCTGGGAAGCCCAGGCACCTGAACCGTAGGACCCCCAGGGCGCTGACCTTCCTCTTCCTCTCTGCAGCCTCAGCACAGACCAGCTGGCTGCCTTCCAGGAGGAGCGTGCCCAGTTCCTGGCGTCCCAGGCTCTGGCAGATGCTGAAGCCGCCGCGGCAGAGGCGGCCAAGAAGTGAGCCCTCCACCTGCCCTGCCCCCCTCCGCTCCCTCAGGGTCACTGGCTGCATGCACCTGGGGACAGAGAGGGCTGATGGTCACCTGTGACCCTACTTTACTTTTTATGTATCATGTCAGTCTATAATTTGAAGGGCTAAAGACCCTAATAAATACTGTGTCATTTGTTACCTTGTTCTGCTTGTCTGTCTGCTGCTCAGGGGGTGATGGGGAAAAGGCAGGGAGATCACTGGGATAGGGTAGGGAAAACAGCTCCGAGTGTGGAGGCAGAAAATCAGCTTTGAGCAGTTTCAGAGCTGGACAGGACCCTGACAACCACCCTGTACCTGTCGTGCCCCCTGTGGATGGGACCCCCAGCAGCCGCCCCATACGAGCTGTGCCCCCACTGGACAGGACCCAGCAGCTGCCCCCCCCACTCCCTCCCCCCGAAGCTGTGCCCCCAGGGCTCATCTACCCTCTGTCTCTAAGACTCCCACTAAGGGAGAACAGTTGAGGGAAACAGGGAAAGAATATTGGCTCTGGGTCAGAGGATCTCGGTTCAAATTTTCTCTCTGATGCTCTCTCCCTGTGTGACCTTGGGCAAATGCCCTCCCAGCTGGCCTCAGATTTCTCCTTGGCAGGATAAGGCTGGCTTAGGGTCTCAGGCCTAGGACCCTGGCCAGGCAGCCACAGGCAGAACTGGAGGGAATATTGGATCAGGAGGGTCTGGGGAGGCTCTGGAGGCTGGTTGGACGGTCAGGTTGGGTGCGGTTTCCTAAGATGTCCTTCTGGCTTTCATTGTCTTCTCCTTCCTTGCCGACACTTGACCCCTGGGCATCTGGGCAGTGAAGGAAGGAGTGCCCTGCAGTGGGTGGAGGTGAGAGTCTGAGTCTCTGGACTTCTCCCCATGAGAAAGGGAAGAATCAGTTTGAGAACTGAGAGGCCTTGGGCTGCCGTCTGGGAATTAGGTGCTTCCCCCCACCTCCCACCCCATCCTGAGCAGCACTGTCTCTTGGGCTGGAGAATGAGGGGCCTCCCCAGCCACCTGCAGGACCTGTGGCTTTTTTTCAGAGTCAGTGACTCTCCTTCCACCTTCCCAAAGGTGGAATGAAAGAGAAGTTTTCTCTCCAGCAGGAGGCCCCGGTTCCTCTCCATCCTATCTTAAAACCCTATTGGACTCGGAGAAGCTGAGAGGGTGTGGAGGAAGGCTTTTGTGCAGCAAAATGCAGGGGGATCAATGAGGTGGGGTAGGGAAAACAGCCCTGAGCATGGAGGCAGAAAATCAGCCTCGAGCAGTTTCAGAGCTGGATGGGACCCCGACAACCACCCTGTACCAGTCATGCCCCCTGTGGATGGGACCCTGGCAACCGCCCCATATGACCTATGCCTCCACTAGACAGGACCCCGGCAGCTGCCCTGTACCAGTCATGCCCCCCTTGGGAGAGCTTTAGTTTTTTAGGTTGTAACTGGAGCTCATTGGAGACTCCATTAGAGAAAGTCTCCTGCCCCCCAAATTCCTCAAGGAATTAGGTGACTGTTTTGATGCTGAAGGCCTCAGAACTTGAGTATTCGGGAAGGACACAGAAGGTTCCCAGGTCAACCCTGCTGGAATCTGGGGTGCAGGAAACAGTGAGCTCTTGGGGCTGAACAGGCTTTAGCTGCTGCAAGGTTCCAAGAGAGCCCACCTTGGAACCTTTGCTTCCTCATTGGCCTTCAGCGCAGGGATGAGGCAAGGGGGCTTTTTCTCTCGACCAGCACATTGTTAGATCTCCCTGAGAAATCAAAAAAGTTGACCAGCCCGTTCTAATCCTTCCCTTGCAAAGCCAACGGGAAGCTGAGGCTTGCTCCGAGTGCGACGTGTGTGTCTAAGGCAAGGCTCCCAGACCGTATTAGGGAAGCCCTGAGGGACGGCTGCTGCTAATGCTAATCAGCGGGTACTGCCGACTGAGGGGCTTCAGGCACACGAGACCAGCTGAGCAGTGTTGGGGAGAGCCCGGAGGAGGAGAGAAGCCCAGACCCAAAGTCTTCAGCTTTCTCATCCTCCATGGTCTAATCAGCCTAGGCTGCTGGTCCCGGAGGGAAACTCGGCCTAGGTGTGATCTTGAAGATCTTGAAGCCTGCCCCTCCATCACCCCCGTGGGGAAAGAGCGACAGCCTGCAGAAAGGAAGGAGCCGGGATTAACTGCAGGCTCAGAGCCCTCAGCCTTTGGCTCTTAGAGTAGGCTTGGCTTGGGCTCAGTGGCTGAGCTCTTCCCGATCCTCAAGCCTCCCCCACCAAAGGTCCCCCGGCGCACCCCCAGCCCACCTCTCTTCTACCTCAGCAAACAACACCAGGGCTACAAAAAAGGCGAACCGGACTTTATTATAAAGTTGGTTACAAAGTCAACACAGCACCACAAGTTTCACTGCATGGAGGCCCAGGGGCCGACACAGCAGCCAGGGTATCCCTGACTGCTTGTATATACACACACACACACACACACACACACACACACACACACACACACACGCACACGCACGCAAACGTGCACCCATGTGTATACACACACACGCACACACACACACGGCGTGACGACAGATCTGTCTTCCTTCATCGGAAAGAAACGATAGAGTCGCTTCACGCCCCCCACCCCAGGCGCAGGGCGCAAAAGTCACAGGAAAAGCCGCAGCAGGCGGCCAAGTTCATAGGAATTGAAATCCTGTTACTGGAGTGTAGACAATTCTACGTGAGTGTCAAGAGCCCCACGGGGCACTGGCTAGCCCGGGTCCGGCCTTTTCCCCCACAGAAGCCCAGGGGCCCCTATGGCCCCTGGGAGTGGAGAATTCCCCCCAGGCCCCTTGGGCAGCATGGAAGGGAAGCTGTGACTCCCCCATTCTCTGTATGGAATCCCATTCAAGGAAACTCACTACGAGTGAATACAGATTGAGATGGAAACTAGGATTGCTCAAAGTCTCTTGATTCTAAAAATAATCCCCCTTGCCCTTCTTCCCACCACCCTTCCTCCCCCCTTCCCATCCTTCAGGGTGGGAGGGATCAGACCCGTCCCCTCCGAGCCCCAAGGATCCCACTAACGTGTCCCGGGTGGTGGAGAACACCTCCACTCCTTGATGACAATATGCCATACTCAGCAACGTTAAGTCACAGACTTATTCAGAACGCTGGTTCCCCTCCACTTCCATCTGAGGAAAGAGCAAACCAAGGAAACAGGGTTAGAGAAGCCTGGGTCAGCTCATAGAATGGATCCCTCCCCTCTTTTCAAGCAGGGCTGCAGGCACACTGAGGACCCCATAATGGTGATAAATGGGATGAATTGAGCTGTTTGGATTCTGGGAAAGGATCTGAGCCAATAAGGCTGCTATGAAATGGGGACATGGGGCAGCTCCTATCCCATTCTGTCTGTGCCTCTGAGCTGTACCAGCCTTTTCTTTCTGTCTCTTTCCTGGTGGTAAAATGCTGAACTAGGAGTCAGGAGACCCTTCTCATCCACCCACCACCAACACGCACAGAGTTTCTACCCCCAGGGCCAATACTAATGAGTTCTGTTAGTTTGGGACAAGTCAGCTAGCCTCAGTTTCCTCATCTTTGGACTGCACTCTTCCCTCCCTCCTCAGCTTCTTATTAGGTCAGTGGGTGGGGCGGCTCACCGTCATGGAAGCTGTCTTGAACATGACTCTGGAGTTGATACAACTCATCGGTACATCCATCACAGGGGAATGCTGAGACACCTGTCTCAAAGTCGGTTTCGTATGCGGCCAGGTCCTCCAGGAAGCTGTGATCTTCTGGGGACAGGTCGGTGCTGGGCGACGGGGCCCCCCCTGGGCCTGAAGTCTCAGGACCCCCTGGTCCCCAATCCCCCTGGGGTGTTGGGGTGGAGAGGCCCATGAAGATGTCTTCCACAGACTTCTCTTCCAGGAATTGGTCCTCAGGGGCATCTAAGAATGCCACCTCCTGACTTTTCCAAGATTTAAGGTCCAGGCTGAATACAGGGGGACCAGCCCCCGGGAAGGAGAGACTTTGGCCCAGGGGTTCAAGTCCCTCTGTTCCAGGCTCTGCTGGGAAAGGGCAGTCCATGCCCTGGGCCAGTTGGCTGATCTGCTGGATAAGTCGCTCTATCTCACTTCTCTCCTTTTCTGAGTAATGGAAGAAACTCTGTTTGACTGGGGAGGCCTCTGGCGTAAGCAAGCCATCAGGCACCAGGGGTACATCCACAGAGAGTGGCCCCCGGAGCTGGGCCAGAGCCAGGAGAGTGCAGTCCCCATTACCAGGACTGTTAGGGCTGGGGGGCAACTTCTCATAGAGAAAATTGCAGCCGTCTTGGGGGAAGTAAGTTTTGGTGGGGTTAGGGCTCAGTTGGTCTGGGAAGGTCTGGCTGGGGCTGGCCAGGTGAGTTTGGAAAGCTGTGCTGGGTGGGGTCAGTTGTTCTTGGACAGGGCTGGCCAACTGCTCCTGGAAGGTGGCAGTGTTGGGCATCAACTGCTCTTGAAAAGTTGTGGCACAGGGAGTCAGCTGGTCTTCATAGGTCTGGGCTGTGGCATCAGTCAACTGGCCTTGAATGGGGCTGGTCAACTCAGGAAAGGTGGCACTGCTGGGGGTCAGCTGGTCAGGGAAGATGGCAGTTCTGGGAGTCAGCTGCTCTTGGATGGAGCTGGAAGGGGTGGAGATGTGGGTCTGGAAGGGCTCTTGCAGGCTGAAGAGGAAGGCACACCCCCCTGGCTGGTGAGGTGTGTATGGTGGGGTGCACACAAAATCTTTGCACAGATCTCCTTGAAAGGTAGACTCTGGGCCTGTAGGGAATGCCAAATAATTGAAATCCATTTCCTTGGGGGGCTGCGGCAGCTGCTCTCCGGAGGACATGGATGCCAATTCTGGGCCAGTGGGGAAGTTTGTGCTTCTGGGACCCCCAAAGGCTGGGGTGAAGGTCGAGTCAGGGCTTGCACACGGGGCTGGAGAGAGGAGGCTTTCTGAGAAGGTGGCTGGTGCAGTTGAGGTGCCCAGAACATAAGCCAGATGGGCATCTTCAGAGCTGAGCTGCTGGCGGAGACACCAGGCTTCCGAGTCACTAAGTTTGAAGAAAAGAGAACCTGGGGTGAGAAGCCTGGTTCCCTTGTCTAAGAACCCAAGCGACTCTCCAGCCAATCCCCTTCCCAAATCTTGGGCTTTGGCTCACCTGATTGGGTAGTTGTTGGCAGTGATGGGGCCATCTGAACCCTCGGGATGCATCAGGGAGTATATCCATACCCAGCCTCCAGTCTTGGCCTGCAGTCTCACTACCATTTCTGCCTGAGCATCACCACTGTCGGCCACTAGGGGAAAAGAGGAGATGGAAGGTTAGCCCAGTGTCCATCAGCTACCACCACTACCAACACCCTAACAGCCCACCTCTTACCTGGCTTGATCCAGCCCTAGTTCTCACCAGTCCTCACCTCAACTCCCTCCCCTACACACACTCTATCCCTGGAATTCTGACTCTGATATCACCTTTCATCCCAATCCTATTACAAACCTGCCCATGTATAGGTTCATGGGATCATAGATTTAGAGCCAGAAGGGACCTTAGCAATCATCTCATCAAGTTTTTGCACATGAGGAAACTGAGGCCCAGAGAGGTCACTTGACTTGCCAAGGTCACATAGGTACCAAGTAGACCTTGGATCTAAAGTCCCATCTTCTGCTAAAGCACATCAGTACCACTGACCTGGTCCTTCCCCCTTTGGCTCATATCCTCCCCCGTTATTCCTGGCTCTGCTCCTGCCCCATGGGTGCACTAGGACACTCACGCAGGCGGTAGTGCTGGGCCGAAGCATGGGCCAGGTCCTCAGGGTGCAGAAGTCCATACCATGATTTACAGACCAGCTCGCTGCGCTCAAAGCCCAGGTAGACTAGGACACTAGGAAGGGCAAAGGCAGGAGGTCAGCTTTCTGCTATCCCATCCTGATACCCAAGCATCCTGCACCCTTGAACCCCAGCTTACTCCCTCCCAGACACCAACTCTTTTTGCTACAGCCCCTGACTCTCCCATGATTCTTGGAAGTCACATGTGCCCTCTCCAGTAGTAGAAGCTCTGTTTTTCTACTCATGACCCGGGCACCCCAAACTCACCTCTCAGAGACATCCAGCAGCGCGAGGTTCTTGGCATGGTGGCTCTGAAACACAGCCAAGAAGATTGAGGCCAGACCAGGGCCACACCCTGGTCCAGAGCGGGCTCGGGGATCAAGTGGGGCACAGAAGGCTGTGAAGACAGGATTCCCTGCCCAGTAGGCTCCAGGGGGATGAGGATGGAAGCGGCCACGGATGAGCACAAGTTTGTTGCCTGCACTCTGGCGCCTCAGGGACTTGGAAGTGTTGAATCGGCATCGGAAAAGGCGATCTGAATGGAAAGAAGAGTGAGTCAGTGAATGGGTGAATGGATGATAATTGTAGAAAGAAAAAGACTAAGAAAAGGGACTTGTCCAATGCAAGAGAAGGTAGAGAAGACGGAAGGAAGCCAAGTACTCACCAGTGTCAGGTATGGAGGGCAGAGTCAGCTGCTGACGGACAGTGAGGTGGTCAGCAGGATCAATAATATCATAGATGCTGTCACCTTGGGCAACCAGATCCACCTGGGGAGCAGGAAAAGGTGGAAAGAAAGAGGACCATCAGTGAATGGAGGGAAAATCTAGTGTTGACCCTAGATAGCTTTAGTTTCCCGGTTCCTTAAGCCTTGGTGTGCAACACTGCCCTGTCCCATGGGATGCACGTAATTACCATGGGGACAATCTCAGGATGGAGTAGGAGCATATAATTGCAAAGGACATACAGGATCATCTAGTCCAAGCCTTCATGGCAAAGGTGTGGAAACTGTGGCCCAGGGAGGGGAAGGGATTTATTTATTGAAAGTCACAAAGCACTGGTTATGTGACTGGCTATGGTGAAGAACTGTGAGTAGCCCCTGGTTTCTGGCTCCAAGCCCCCCCCCATGCTCTCTTAACTACGTTATTCTATTTCCCACCTGGGGAGGGGGTGAAGAGAGGAGGAGGATGTTTTCCAGAACCCTCAGAAAACCTCTGAATATCAAAATTGGACCTTCAGTTGCTTCCCTGCCTCAGCTGTTCTAAACATCCTCTAGGCTGGGAAGAGCTTTCTTGGTTGGATCTATTTGTGCCCTGGTCAATTCCCGTTACAAGAAGGCACTCACCATGGAATGGCCCAAGTGCTCGCTCACGTTGTCGGACAGATAGAGAAGCTTTCCCTCAGCTGTAAACATGAGCAGGAACCCGGGCAGCGCCGCCACGATGTCTTCCAGTTCCTGCGCCGAAAGCAGCCCAGCTGGGCCAGCCAGAGGGGCGCCTGATGGGAGAGAGAAACAGGGTGAGTCAGGAGGGACTCTCCAGAAGACTGGAGACAAGAAGAGAAAATGCTATATGGAGCGAGAAAAGGGAGTGATTTTCAGGAATCCATAGGGATCCCAATGGATCAGCCCCGCGAGTAGCGCCCACCTGTTGACCCCGCTCCCCGATCTCCTGGCCGAGGGACCTGTTGATTGGATTCTTTAATGCCCAAGCCAGGGACAGCACGCTCCGACCCCAGTAAGGTTAAGAACCATGGACAGCACCCGCAGCCAAGACTCCTTGGGTTCAGCACCACACATCCCCAAGACCGATGCTCTACCGGCAGTGTCAGAACCTCGGACAGAGCCTCAGGTTCCGGGCTGCTCTATCTGCCTGCGCTTCCCTGCACTTCCCTGCAAAAGGGATCTCCTAACGGGATGTGCCCTTGCGGACTGGGGACTATTACATTCGCGGCGCTTCCCAGTCCAGCGTGCTGACATTAAGGAAGGCACCCTGAGGTCTTGGGGAGCAAAGGAGGGAAGTCTGGCACTCCTAGGTCTCTTCCCTGTCCGGCTCCTTTCTGAATAGACTCCTCTCCTAGCCTGGGAGTGGTCCCTGGAGTTCCAGCCCCGGACTCCCACCAGGGTCTCCGCCAGCCCAGTCCCGCTCACCTCCGGCAAAGAAGACTCCCTTGCGGGTGTAGATGCAGGCTAGCGACATGATGTGCAGGTAAGATAGCCGCACCTTGTCCGCTTCGGCCAGCGGCAGCAGCTCCTTGAGGCTCCGGATCTCCGCGTTGATCTGGTCGCGCCGCGCCTTAGAAGCGCCCTTGGTGGAACGATACATGGCTGTTGGCGGCGGAGCTCGCGCCTGGGCGCTTTGGACACCTGGGTACCCGCCCCGACGCGCCTTCTTCGGCTTCTTCCTCCTCTCTCTCCTCCGTCTCTCTCGGTCTCTGTCTCTCTCCCTCTCTCGGGCTCCGATTGGCAGATCTGCCCCCCTCGCCTGTCTCGCTTCGCTTTATATAGCCCCAGCCAGGCGTGGGGGGCTCGATTCAGGGATGGGGAGGGGGGCGGGAGGAGCGGGGGGCCGGGCCAAGCGGGCTGCACGGGGAGCTGCCGGCTGGGGGGGGGCCCCCGCTCCTCCTCCCTCCCCAGCCTCCGACGTCATCCGCATGACGTAGAACGAGAGAGGGAGGGGGAACTGCGGAGGGGGGGTGCAGGGGGAGAAGAGAAGCAAAGCAGGGGCCGAGCCTGGAGGGGATGGAGCCAAGGCTCAGCGCCGCCATGCAGGAGGAAAGCTGGGGGTTCTAGAGTGCAGGCGCTTGCGGGAAACTAGAGAAGGACCTTTCTGAAAGTTGCGCGAGCCCCCCTCGGCCCCCTGTCCTTCCCCCCAATCAAGGATCTGATTCTGATCCCGTGTCTCCAGCCCAGGGTTCTGCTGCTCCCTGCCTTATGGGCCAAGGTCCTGCCTAGAGTCTGTGCACTGGCCCTATAGCCCCTACGTTGCCCCAAGTATTCTTCTGGGAGGGGAAGGGGATGGGGTGAGAGGGCATGAGGGCTGCCCAGAGCAGGGATTCCCACAGGCTCTCTGGTGCCCCCTGGAGGCCACTTTTCAAAGCCCCTGTCCCTCCTCCCTAGGCACCGCTCCAGAGGGCCCATAGACTGATTGACTAACTGGTGGGGGATGTTTCTTTTTGCACCTCCCTTCCCCCGCCTTTCTTTTTCTGGCCCCCTGAATACAGAGGGTCTCCAGACCGCTCCTGGGGGTGCAGAGGGGAAATGAGAATTGAGGCACAAGGAAAGAAACCCTCGAGGTTCGTAACTGGGACCCAGATATCCCTGCCCCAAGTCCGTGCTGGCTCCTCTTCCCCCAGCTTCGGTCTTGGCGTCTCTGCGCCCTTCTCCTCCCCTCCCTCACCCTCCCCTCGCCTCAGCGGGCCGGGGGCGGGGGGCGGGGGCGGGGCTGGGGGAATCCCAACTCCATATTAGGGCAGGAAACCTCCTGGAGCGGCCGGCGGGGCGGGGCCTCTGTGCTTCAGCTCTCTGCTTTTAAAGGCTCCCCCGCCCCCTTTCCCTAGCGGCTGGGCCTCTGGGGGCGAGGCGCAAAGAAAGAGCCCCAGTTCTCCTTGGACGCCCTCCCTGCTCTCAGCTTGTCCCACTACTCTCTGTCTGTCTGGCTGTCTTCCATCTTGCCCCCCACCCTCAGCCTTTTCCCAACTCTCTGTCTTTCAGTCTCCAAATCTCTTCTAATCTCTTCCTCTCGGCCTCTTTGGATCTCTGTCTCTGCCTTTGCCTTCCATTTCTTTCTCAAGTCCCCCCACCATTTTAAATAATGTCTCTGTCTCTCATGAGAGACATCATTCTGTCTCTCCTTTCTGTCTTTTCTCTCTCTGTTTCTCTGTATTAATTGGTATCTCTGTAAATTCTGTCTCTGTCTTTTTTGACTTTTTGTCTGTCTACTCTCTTTTCCTTTCTATTTGTTTGGGTCGTTAGCTCTGCCTCACTCTCTGTCTCTGCTTTGCTATCTCTGTATCTTTGTTTCCATCTCTATCCCTCCCTCTATGACCGCTCCCAGGTGGAGATGAATGAGGAAGACCACACTATGTGCCTCTCGAGGTGAAATTGATCCTCTTCCCAGGGGCCTGGGAAGGTGCAGGTGTAGGGCCTCCTAGATTTGGAAAGGGAGAGGAAGCCAGGATGCTGAATACTGGACCCTCTTCCTGGGGATTTAGAGAAGAGGAAGTAGCCTGGGAGTTTGGAGATAGGCATCTTTCAGATCTCTGCGGGTGGGGAGTGGAATATAAACTGTGACGTTTGATAAAGAACAAATAAAATAGGTTGTGAATTGGACATCTGATTGTGAAAACAAGAATTTGGGGAATGGAGTGGGGCAAGAGTACTGTTCAGTACTGCCCAGTAGAAAAAGTATATACTGAAGGGGGGGGGCGTTACACAGAAGCAGGGTCCATCTGTGGATAAAGCTGAGGCAGTAGTTTCAAAGGCAAATTCTTATCCCTTTCTGTGTTTTAGCTGAGGCCTTCAATAGACACATCCTTCCCTCCTCCCTCTCCAATGGTGCTGTCAGGAGGTGGAGGGCCTCCGGGGTAGGTAGGTGTGATACCTCTGTCTCTTGGTCTCTATCTTTCTGTCTCTGTATTTAGATGGAAGATGGGAAGCTCATTGTAAATTTGATGTCTCTACATCCATTTCCCTGTGACCCCAAACTATTTTGCCCCCTCTTTATCTCTATCTCCCTGTATGACTTCTTTCTCAATCTTTTCTCCCAACTCATCTCACTGTCCCCTTTTCCTCTTAGCCCCCCCCACCCACCCAGATGTGCATGGAAACATAATGGGAGAAGTGGAGGACAATTTAGACTCGTTTCACAGTGGGAGGAAATGTTTCCTTTCCCCCCAGAGCCCAGTCAGTGTTACTTGTCAAGATCACCGAGGGAGGCTTGTTACTGTCCATGGTGCTGAAGATTCCTCAGCTCTATGTGAAGAATCCGGCCTAAATAGCGGGTCAGTCCCAAGACCTTACTAACCTAAGTTAGGGTCCCTGTGTATGTATCTATTTGTCTGTATTTATGTACGTGTTGTTTGCCTCTCTGTCTGTGCAGCTCCCCCTCCTGGCTGCCCCCATTCAAGTCTCCTGCCTTTGCCTCCTTCCCCCATACCACCTTGTAAACACTAGGAAATCCACCACCTTCAGGGAATCTCCCTCTGCAGCCTGTCAAACCTCTACTGGGGACTGGGGGGCAGGATATCTGGATTATGGAAGGGAAGTAAGAATTGATGAAGGGAGAATTGAGGTCCAGGGGAGCAGTTACTGAGATTCTGGAAGGAGAGTGGGATTAGGATGTTGGGGTCTGGGAGCACAATAAGTCCTGAAAAAGGACGTGTGTGTGTGTGTGTGTGTGTGTGTGTGTGTGTGTGTGTGTGTAATGGGGGGAGTGGTAAAATCAACCTAGTCTACTTTAGTTCAAGGCAAGAAGATCTAGTTACCCCAAGCTCCCTCCTTCCCAGGCCGTCCCCCAGCCCCCTGGCCTCCCACCTTCATGTAGTTATTTTTAACTTCTTAGAACCAAAAATAACCTGGAAGCAGCTTCAGGCCGTGGGAGAGGAGCTATTTATATCACCAGTGACGGTTCAGAAATAGCAGGCAGGAGGAGGGGGGCGGCTGGCACCGCTAGAGAGCTCCTGGCCGGGGCTAAAAATACTGTCGCAGTGAGTCAGCCTGGCCCCAGCTGAGTCACCCCCGTTCCTGGGCTGGGAGGGAGGGCGCTGGATAGACTGAGGAATGAAAGGCTTTGCTCTATGCAAACTAGGGGACTAGGGACCCCAGTTTTCCTGGAAAAAGAGGGGCTAGGGGTTAGGCAAGGAAGCTCTTGAGATAAAGGGGCAGGGGACAAGTAAAATGAGATGGCAGAAGGAAAAAGACTCAGTGCTTGAGACATATACACAAATAACATGCACAAACACAAACAAATGTTCACATACCCATGAAGCCTTTTAGTGCTGGGATAGGGGGATGTGTGTGTGTGTGTGTGTGTGTGTGTGTGTGTGTGTGTGTGTATGCAATGGCTCATATAGGAGCTGAGCTATGGGAACATACATGTGAACATGAGGTTAACTGTGTATGTAGCTGCCTTTGTGTGTCTGTGTGTTTATATGTGTGTTTGTGTCTGTGTGCATCCATGTATGTGAATCTAGGTATATCTGTGTCTGTGTGCATCTTGTTTGCATCTATCTTTGTGGGTCTGTGTATATTTATATGCATGTGTATGTATGGAGCTCTGTCCATATTTGTGTGGCTGTGTTTATGTGTATATGTCTATCTGGGTCTGGGTCTGCATATGGGTCTGTCTCTGCATGTCTACATCTAGCTGTGTGGGGAACTATTTATATGTATCTCTCTGTGTGTTTATCTGTATCTGCATAACAGATACTTGGGTATGTCTGTCTGTCTGTCTGTGTCAGTAGGACTGTGTATGAAGCTCTGTCTGCCCTTGCAGTCCCAAGTTCAACTCATTTTGCCTTCTCTTGCTCAGTCTCCTGTGTTATCTGATCAAACCCTCTTCACCCCAGGCCCCTCCTTCAATCCCTTCCTTAGCCCCACTCACCCCCCCATCCCATTTCCACAATTAGTCCCCAAATCTCTGGGAAGCACCCCTCCCCAATGCATGCAACTTCTTCAGGGGGAAGGTGAGCCTTCCATGCTAGGGAAGGGGGCTTCCCTCCTCCTGGAGCCGTTCTCAATTTTCCTTGCCCTGGGGGAGTGAGTGGTTTTCCATCGCTCCATATTTGGGGTGCTGCAGGGAGAGGAGGGGTTGCTTTAGATCTAAAAAAATCTGTGGAGTGTGCACACACATACACACACACATATACACAAAACCAAGAGAGAGAAAGAGAAAAAAAATATCAAGGTCCCTTCTTTACGGAGCCGAGCTCTCGCATCTGTTGCCATGGCAACCCTCCCACTCCTTCCCCGAAAATTCACCAAGAAGAGGTGATGGCAGCAGGGAGGGATTGGCTGATTTCTTCCTTTATGATTTTTTTCCCGAAAAAGGGCTTTTTATAGCCAGAACAGGCCATGCAGTCCCTGGCTCCTGCCTTGAATGGTTTTAGAGGGTTCCTGGGGGAACACCCCCCTTCTCACTGGCCACCTTATCAGGAAGGAGGGAAGAGTAGGGGCTAATCTCTTTCAGGGGCTTTGGCTAGACAGACCATCTGTGGAGAGAAATGGATGTTGGGTGGTAATCTTTTTCTCTAGAGAGCTATGGTCTGTCTACGGAAGCCTTAGGGCTTCCTGGAGTCTTGAAGAGTCAAAACATCTCTAGGGAGGTGTTAGAATACTTCAGCTGTCAACTTGGACAGATATGCCTATTCTAGATGGAGGTTTAACCTCCTGGCATCCTTTGGCATTAGAGAGAAATTGAACAGAAGTCCAAGAATCTCAGCTTAGAC